ATTGCAGACTTATGGCCTTTTTGCACTGCCATGTTGAAAGGTCACCGAGAAAATTTTCTCAATATCCTTTTCCAGCTTCACGGTTTGGAAACCGCTGCTTTAGACAATTTGTTCCTGGGACCGTTTTCTCCGATTTTTGCACAGAAAAAAATGTTGGCATCACAAATGCGAAAATATGGTTTGAAATTCTGCCGAAAATTCACAATTCCGTATAAATAAGTTGGCATTGCATTTATTGATTTTTCTTTTCGTGATGAATTAACAAACATGATTTTTTCGCAATTGTTTTTCGAGATGGTCGAGGATAATTTTGGTCGTTGACGTGGAATGACCCCGATCCAACTTGATCTCACTTGATTGAAAGGAAGGAGAATCCTTTCGCGGTGCGATCTGCGGCGAGTGAGCTATTGCCCCTCGAGGAATTCATCATTGCATCGGGGAGAGAGGACAGGGGAAAAAAATAATAATAATAAAAATATATAATAAAAAAAAAAAACAGAAAGCTGTGAGACGAGCAAACTTTTTTTTTTTTAGATTTTCTTAGAGGAAATATCCTCTGCTCTTCCCCGCTTAAAAGGAGGCTTTCTCCATTCGGTCCGATGGATCGGAATGCGTTTGGCATGTTTTCTCTGCGAATGTGCCTTGGAACTCTGATCGATTTCGTGACAGCTCGCAAACATATAGAGGCGATGCGCTCGATGCCGTGAATGATCGATGCGGACCGTCCCGGTCGAAAATGTAGTCGATCTCTCTCCGTCCCGACAACCATCTTATGGAACGCGTCTGCTTGCATCTCAGATGGGATCCTTTTGTGCACGCAGGGAATCCAATTTGCTCTTGGATTCCCTGTGCCGGGGAGAGGGGGGGGGGGGGGAAGAACTGGGAGTCATCCGAGCCATTGGGAGAAGACCTCGAAGTGTTTGCACACGACTGAAAAGAAAGGCAATGGGCTCATTTCCTGCTTTTCCCTGCCTAAACGCGAATGCCTCGAGAGGAAATATCCTCTGCTCTTCCCCGCTTAAAAGGAGGCTTTCTCCATTCGGTCCGATGGATCGGAATGCGTTTGGCATGTTTTCTCTGCGAATGTGCCTTGGAACTCTGATCGATTTCGTGACAGTCGGCTGCGAGCTCGAGTATCGAATTTAATCGGGATCTGTTAGCTCTTTCTTGGTGTTGATTTTTTGCCGATGAATATTTACAAATATATTTGATGCCGGTAAAAAAAAAGAAGAAAGATGCCCCAATAAAATTCCTGGGGAACGATTGGTGCAGACAAAATGGCGCTATGAATTAACTAAATATCCCCTGAGAGGGCAATAGGCCCATATATTTCCTTACTTTCCACTTAACAGCATCTTATTTTCCAAGCTTGAACAATATGTATCCAGCTTGGAAACACGGGAGAAGCGGAATGCAGCAGCTTAACAGCAGTCCAGCCAGCTTAACCAGCGATCGATTCGGACGGGGCCACGTTTCCAAGCTGTCCGAAACGGGAATAAGCTGGGCTATGAGACTCGGATGGCTTCGACTGAGACAGAGAACCGCAATAAGGAAATTACGTTGTAAGCTATACCGATCGAACAGGATGATTTACGCGATGTCACTTACACCAGGAAAAAAACTTATGTGATCCGATAATAAAGGCTTTCACGGGAATCAACTTACCGGAGATAACCCCATTTGTCTCAGAAAGCCGTAAGGGAATGAACTACAGAGGCCTGAAGTGCCCACAGTACTCCTGTCAGGAGAAGCATCAGAGGTACTGGCCTCACTATTGTGCGACTTTCGCGATGTCCCTGGAGTCCTCCGAATGTCGCATTTCTGACAAGGAGACGGTTGTTATCATCCGCCGAGAAGAATAGAGGGCCATGGAAGGGTCTTCCTCCAATTAAGGAAGGATCTTCCATCAGAGGAAGATCATTTCGATTTCCAATTTCCACTTTAGTGGAAGCGATATCATGTGTCACATGTTCTTAGAGTGAATACGACGAGAAACTGTGTCTCATACTACAAAGGATTTCTCATTCTCTTCTAGTAAATTCGATTAAGCGAGATCGATGGATCACGTAAATCGGATTTTTTCGTGCATATCGTCAGCGTTCATTTGAAAAGCTCCATTTCCACCATTCATTCGCAGATGAGCCAGGATGACAAGCATTCTAAACGGCACGGCGATGGAGACCAGAGACGGAGAACGGGGAGCAGACCGGGAGCTCGAGAGTCTGGTGGAGGACACCCGCTTCGTGATCCAGCGGGTCCTCGTCCCCCTGGTGGTCGTGGTGGGGGTGGCAGGGAATGCCGTCACCGTGCTCGTGCTCACCCGCCGCCGCATGAGGAGCTCCACCAACATCTACCTCACCGCTCTCGCCGTCTCGGACCTTCTCTACCTCATCTTCACGTTCACGCTATCCCTCGCTCATCATCCGGTTCTCAAGGAGAAGCCCAGCTATCATTACTGGATGTATTTCCGATTTGGGCTGTGGCTCACGGATTCGTTTAGTGAGTTCTTATCTGTCGCTCTTCCTCCGGCCGGGTCTTCATATCGTAGGCAATAGTCTAAGGGCATTATCGTATCGCGTGTCTGCGAGAGGAAATGAATCCCGTGGGGAAAGGGGCGATGCACAACGTAAAAAAAAAGAAAAATGAGATAATGAGATAATGAAAAAATTATCGCTGTCTCTTAATGGATGTTGAATTCCTACTTCCTCTGCCAACCTCATTTACATTAACTTGCCGTAGAAATGACTGAATGAGATCCGAGTTTACGAAAGGATAGAGACTTCGTCATAAACTTCATTCCGCTGGCCGCGGGTTCTGCATCACTGGCCTGAAGGTACAAATGCTAAACCACAACTTTGAGGAAAAATGCTCTGATATGAAGTGAATAATTGCTTCACTGTCAACTGTTTATTTATTTATTTATTTTAAAGAACAGTTTCACTATTTTTAGAACAGTTAGCAAATGTTTACAAGCTTCGTAGAAAATATCTGGCTGTCAGCACGGGAGATTTAAATCCGTCCGATTAAGATCAAGATCGAGAGCATGCGAGATGAGAGAGGATGAAGTCGACAATGCGTAGGAGTCATCAAGAAACGACAATCCGCTAGCAATTCGACGCAGACAATGGTGACTAGCGACCTTTTTAGGCCAAGTCGGAGGGAAATTCCCTTTGTGATCCTCCTTCAAATCTCAAGGGGATCCTGTCTCCAACTGAACTTCAGGCTCCACGGAGTGAGGGGGGTCCGGCCCTTGAGGTCGTAATGGGGTTTTTGCGTCCTAAAAAAATATGGGAGTCGAAATTGCGTATTCAAATCCGCGATAGAACCCGACGTGATTGACGGATTGAGTCCGTGGATGGAATCTAATATCGCCTGGAACCTCTGTCGGCAGGTCCTGTAATGGAATCAGTTCGTCCAGTTCGAATGGTTATTTTCTCGTGTTTCGACAGGGCTTTTCACCGTCTTGGTCGGGGACAAGATAAAAAAAACACTCTTGATTCGATTTCGCAACCTGTCGACTTACAATATTAGATTTTCGTCTGTTCCCATTTCGAAGAATCGAATCAACGTGAGGATCAGAAGAATTGAGTAGAATGCAGGAATTTTACAATGACCCTTTCACCTGTTTCTTTCCAGGCAATACATCCGTGTGGCTGACGGTGACCTTCACGGCCGAGAGGTGGGTCGCCGTCTGTCATCCCATAAAGGGCAAGATGTGGTGCACGTTGACTCGAGCCAAGAAGATCACCTGTTTCATATTTCTCATGTGTTTTCTGAGTGCTCTGCCGACCCCGTTCGAATGGAGCGTGGTGTCCGACCGGGATCCCGTGACGGGGGAAATAGGATACCGACTGGAATACAGTCAGCTGGGACTCAATACCATCTTTCGCACCTTCTTCTATTGGTTTTTGGCCATCATGTTTGCTCTACTGCCGCTGGCCCTCGTGGCCGTGCTCAATGGGTTTCTGGTGCAGAGCGTGCGGCAGAGCCGCGCGAAGCGCGAGCAGCTCAACGAGGCGACAAGGTGGGACAGGCGACGCGGGTACCAGGAGCGCCGCATCACCATCATGCTCATCTCAGTCGTCGTGCTGTTCCTCGTCTGTCAGACGCCGGCGGCTGTCTTGCTTCTCGTGCACTATTTTTACGAACCGGAGGCGAAGACTCGAGGATGGGCGGTGCTGAGGATTCTGGGCAACGTCTTCAACTTCCTCATGGCTCTCAACTCCGCTTGCAATTTCATCCTCTACTGCGTCATCAGCGACAAGTATCGCCAGAACTTCATCCGTCTCCTCTGTCCCTCTCGGTACAGAAGACAGAACGCCCCCGACGTCATCCCGGTCGTCGACGTGGGAAAGCTTCCGAACTCCAGCTTGGACGCCCCACGCCGAACGTCGAGCAAGCCCCCGAGTCAAGAGAACGCAAACCCGAACATGAACCAGAGCGGAACGACGAGCAGCAACAGCCACGGCACTCACGGCACGCACCAGTACGGGACCCTCATGACGGGTCTGAGTCGGTGCAGCAGTGCGGGGAACGTCTGCCGGGTGAATCATCTGAGGAACTTCAATCAAAACGATTTCCCTGCCATCAGGGCCGAATGGAGCGTGGAAGTCTTGGCCAGGGACTCGATTCGCGTCAAGAACCCGAGAAACAGCAAGACCGTGACTTATGCCTGTTACTCGGAAAGGATCCTCTTAGAAACGGTCCGCGGCCATATTTTGTGACTTTCCGACAGATATTTCCCCGATTTATTTTAGCTGATGTGATATGAGAAACTCCTGTTTCCGATGAAGTGAAAATTTTATTCCTTTTTGCGATCTACGATGTTTCTTCGTGAAGTGAAACTATTGACTCATGCCGTGAAAGCACATATTGGCTGAATGGAGCCCTCGAAAACCATGAGAATACAATCTGAATGAATGCAAAACCTCAAGGCTTCTCTTTCTCACTTCGGTGACTCTTAACACCCCGCCCCCCCCCCTCCCTCCCTTCCGTCTGTCGCTCCATCGCCGTCTTAATACATGGAGTGTCGTGCAGTTTCAGTGCAGTACAGTGGGTCTGAATTTGATTGGGTCGGGCGTTATGGTGCGGAAGGCCCACTTGGGTCCCTCGTAGTCAAAGTCAGTGACAGAGTCGTCTTGGACGGTGGCCTTGACGACAGCCCTGTCGGCCCTGATAGCCCGGATCTCCCAGATGATAGGGATGATGATGACGAACGCTCCGGCGACCCAGGCCCACGCCTCGGAAAACATCACCCAGCCTTCGAAACCTTCGTGAAGGAGGAAAAGAAGGGGAATGGAGAGTATTTACGCCATATTTCGTATTATTTGTATTATTTTGCATTATTTTCCATCTGATAATCCTACAACACTGTCGTTGGAAGAGGCAAGGTAACGAGGCTCGCCATCTCTTTTTATTATCAATTTCAGCGCAAGCCAATCATCACGAGCCAGAAAATCTTTGAGGTTCTATTCAAAACCATTTTCGTCGACGAAAGGCCTGCTTAGGGGAAATGAGGATTCCTTGGCAACGCCATATAGATAAGAGGATCTGAGAGAAAGAGGAGATGAGAATGTCGAAACAGGGGGGAAAGAGGAGGGCGATTTAAGGCGTCACATCGCTCAAATTGTCCTGCTGGTTATCTATCAACTCGGATTCGCAGCTGTCTCGGGGCAAAGCCTATTTCTTTACACACCGTCAGGACAAGATAATGGAGCACAAAAGCGGACAGGGCTCGCAAAAACCTTGGGTGGTTTAAAGAAGCACTCTCACTTCGTCTAAGGAAATCAATTTCAGACCATCTCGACGGAATTCGAGAGAGACTCTATATGCATGGATTATCCAATATTCATTCGGCTTGGTCCCGAGAAGACCCTACATAATTCCTTCCCTTTCAGGAATATGTCTTTCGTTAGAACTTCGCTTCCAAATTGTTAACCTCGTTCTGGGTCCAATGGAACCTGATACTAAAATTTAGCCAATTGTATGGGCTGCACTGTAAACTTGTGAAGTCCAACACTCCGTGTATTTTCATGTGGATGTGTGATAGTAATTAGACAAAATAAAAATAAAATAAAAATAAAGATGGCTTGTGTAACGCTTCATCTAAACTGGCAGGGCAGTTGATCTTGAGAATCGTTACATCCCTTAAGGTCAACTGATACGTCAGTTTTGATGAAGCCTTGATTCAACCCGGTATAGGCCACACGGACGAATCCGAATGGTTGCGCGACTTCCTGTTGCGCTATACCCTCTTGGAGCATTCTGGTCACTTTCTTCCTGCGTTAGCTTTGGCATATCTCTAATGTTTTTCGAAGATGGCATGACATGGTTAAAGGTCCTTTAAGAACATTTGGACTCCCACGGGGGAAAAAGAGCTCTTTAGCTTAAAGGCCCCTTTATCTCCCTTTAACAAAGTTTATACATTCGACCCTTAGCCTTTATGCAACCTCAATTATTCTTTAATTCATAGAGCGATGTGGCCGTACTAGTACGGCCGTGCGTTTTTTGTCAACCCCCCTGCGATCTTCAAGGTTGGTGACAAATCTTCTCCATTCGTTAATATAGTTTCAATAATTGGCGGTGCGAGTCATAAAATGTGATCGTTTCCAGTGATCATCTTCATTATTGTGTTTCACGCATAACAACATCATCAAGTTCAAATGAGACCCTATTTCTAGGAGCGAAACCCAAAATCACGTGGAGTAGACGGTTGCGTTGCAACGAGTGCCACACCAACAAACGAGAGGGGAGGCCCCCGGGCTTCGGAATTGAAATTTCTGTATGAAGTGGAAGTCTTCCTAGCGTTGATTCTTGCATAGTGGGGGATAGCGGGTGAGGTGCAAGACAAGAGGTTCTTAACCTGTGTGTCACGACACCCACAGTTCCCGTGAGGGACTGTCAGGGGTGGCGTAGATGTTGGGCATTGACATTGTAGGGCAAGAAAGCCAGGAGGCCACAATGTCACTTCGCAGGTATAATCGAAGAGCACTTATGGAATGGGTAGCGAACCTCTTCTGAAGAAACTTCAAGTAAGAGACTTCTGATTTAAGCTTCCGCCCTTAACCCTTTCATGGCTGTATTAAGAAAACGAGAACTAGAAAATTTTTTCAAAATTTCTCTAAACAATCTTGGTTTTGATCCAATATGCCTGAATAAAAGTCTGTTTGAACGGTTACTTCCACTTTCGTCCAAGCGGAATCTCGCCCCGCATTCCGATTGACAAGAATCACAAGATGTGATTTAATATTAATTCGCACAGTTGGGGCGAAAGTGCGCAGGGACGACTTTCCACGCGTGATTTTCATGTCTGATACCCAAATTTCCTTCAAACTTTAAGGAGCGAAGGCAAGGTCAACTCCCAGTTTCACTATCCCTCCTGTTTAAGACGGATACTGATATATGCCCAGAAGTACCACTTGAACATTTTTTTAACTCGTGACTTTGATTTAGAAGGAAGAATCGCACATTGAATCGCGGCTCATGCTAGAGACTGGGGGTGCCGGGATAAGGAAGAAAAAGAAATACTGGGAATGGTAGGCTCGGATTGACCGTCTCCAGAATTTCTATATCTATTTCGAACAAACGAAATTTATCTGAAAAATATGTCAAAGCCCTGGATTATGTGATTTAATTGGATAGACCATCTATTCCTTCGGAAGCCGTTCGTTCAGATGCAATTTTTTTTTAGCTGAATGACCTAGTTTGTGCATTTTATACCATCATCATTTGACTGCTACATAAGATTCTTCATAAGAACAAGCATTTCTGAATCCATGAGGAACTATACTTTCTATCCACTCCAAATCATTTTCAGAATTCATCTAACACAGGATGAGGATGAGAAACTGGGACTTAACCCTTTTAAAGGGCTGAGGTAGACGTGGTTATCAGTCACGAAATCAACGTTTGGAAAGTTGCCCCTGTGCACTCTCGTCCCCGTTTATCGAGATGAGATAAAAGGGAAAATTTAGCAATTATCTATCAATTAAGTCTCGGGGGCGAAAGTGAAAGACACAATTTGAACAAACGATGCTTCCGCAAATAGCCCTTGTCGAGAGCTATCAAATAGTACAATTTCAAACCGGTATTTCAAATATAGTAACGCAAGAGGAGTCTCAAAAGATATGATCCTTATAAGACCCATCAAATGCCATGAAAGGGTTAATGAAATTGCGTATCAGGAATACACAAGAGAGTAAACGGGGATTATGGGCACGTGGAGAATATAGGTAGCGATAAATATTCCTTCGCATTGCTCCTGTTGAGAGAGACATGCGAAAAACCTGATTAGTTGTCACTATTTCTCATCTAGTGGTGCTTCCTATTAGGAGAAAGCTTTTGTGCTCCTTTGTGTTATACGCCTTTCAAATGGCTAGGTCTTCCGTTTCTAGTCATATTTGTCAGGAATTGCGATTTTGGACATGTCTTTAATCGTCACACCTTTTGTCTACTACCCGGTCCATCATGCGAAATAGCATTCGGGGGGTAGTCGGCATCTCTGAGATCGACTCGACCATGGCGTTCGTACTTCAATGGCTGCCAGATAATTTTGACAGTTCCATTCGGTGGTAATATGGGCACCTCCTGTCAGAGTATAGGGGCATTTGAATTTTTACTGCTTATTCGTATTTCAGATGCCAACAAACTTTTACAAACATTTTGATAGGCATGTGCTGCATGAGACCTAGAAAACATACAAAGCATGTTTTCCATTAAAATTTTGCTGAGACCGCTGATCAGGATTGCCTTATCTGTCAGGGCTGTGAAATTATCTCGACTTTTTTTCCTTTGGCTTTGGGGAACTAAAAGCATAATTTCAGTTGGATTGCTCGATTTTACAATCGGAGTACAGCGTTTCTCGGCAGCCATAATTACCGCGCTCGGTCCTTTGAGGTAGAACGTGGGTAACGTGACAAGACGCGTATGGTATGACTCATTTACTGTTAAACCAAACGAACGGAACGTGGTAAATCAAATTGGTGACAAATTCAACAGACTTCAAGGAAAGTGAGCATTATGCTAGAATTGAAAAGCATTTGTACTTCGTTGAAGGTCAAAATGACTGCTATGGTCCTCTTAGTGTTACTATTCAGGAACTCACTTGGGTTGCAAATGTTGCAAACTTGTTTTTACTTTTAGCTCATATTAACTACTTTACTGCCCGATTTCCCCTGAACAGTCGGGGAATACGGGCAGATTCATTTTTCATGTTTTTCTTTACAATTGGAACAGGAAATTGTTTCAGTATGCATGCTTGTTCGAGATTGCGTCTTTGTTGCAACAGTGAAATTGTTGTTTTGTATCAATTAAAATATTTGCTATACGTCAATGGGATCAAAATAGACTAAGATACACTTACATACAGAGAATATATTGATAGGAACTATTAAGGAAGAATGCCTAGATCAATACTGTTATTACAATGAAGATCCTGATTGTTTATGGCACCCATGTGCATGCCAACCTTCTGGTGTATAAAAAAAAAATCCAGTTCTCGTCTAAGGATTGCAAATGACCTGAGGGGGGGGGGGGGAGAGGTAGGGGAGTCATTGTAAATTTTGAGCTACATCTTGATTTAATTGGTTAAATATTAGAATTGGGATGTCAAAATACGCTTTCGGCCATTACGACATCCTGTGTCAAGGTCCTGCGTTCATGGATGCGATACCCCTCACCTACTGCCTCGTCGCTTACAAGTACAGTGCTTCTTTTATTTGTTTATCTATGATGGCGTCGAGCCTCTTCTTCAAGCTAGTCACGGTAGGGGCAGCCACTCGTCGCTTAACGAATTCCACGCATGGACTACGTTACATGCAAAGAAATCATTTCGCAACCTGGGTCTCGCTTGGGGTTTACGCAACTTAAACCGGTTTCCTCTCGTTCTGCTGCTACCATCGAGTTGCAATCTACCACACTCCACGCTATCGATTCCTTTGACGGTCTTAAAAGCCTGGATGAGGTCCCCCCTCGTTAGCTTTCTATCGAGCGAGAAGAGTTCCAATGCTTCCAAAAGAATTTCGTATGAAAGTCCTCGTACCTCTTTTTACATTTTCGTAGTTCGCCCCTGAATTCTCTTGAGCGCCGTTAGATCATATTTATTTGCAGGTCTCCAAAATTTAACTTAATACTCTGAAAGGGGTCTACCCAGAGCAGCATATAATGGAGGAATTCTGTGCAATCTGAGGCCGGAACAGGTATCGCATTGCAGTGAAATATAAAAGAATTAAGATTTTAGATTGATTTCCTTGAAATGATCTTAATGTTAAGTTACCTTATCAAAACGAACATTTCATGGATGAATTCAGGTCTTGGTTATCCTCATTTTTAATACTCGTAAGGTTAGAAGCGTGCGGATATTCGGGGGCGTCACCGAACACCTCGCCTGACAAGTTTCTCGCTGCTGAGAAAAGGTTGAGAATTGCTATGCATGACGAAAGACTGAAGTGAGATGCTCGACGAACGAAGCAGCGTGAAAGTGGTGGATAACTCAATTAGACGGGTGATCAATGGGCAATCAGTGCTGCCCAACTACCCTAAAACCTTTCGCGGTCCGCGGTTGAAGAGTCTTCCTGTTGCTCCTTTTCAGACGCGCAGCATGCTTCAACCAAATTTCGCGAGTAGATTCATCGGGTAAAATAATTAAAATCTGGCGGAGTTCATCTCTGCTTAACTTTCCTTTCATAGACACTAATTAGGTCACTGGCCTATCTGTCTTCACAGCAAAGCCAAATTTCTTCTTCAATCTCCTATTGAGGGACAGATTAAAGTTTCATTCGCCCAAGCCAGAATGCATGCGTCCCCCTCACTCCCTCCACAAATTCTCGATCTCGATTCGTCAGGCATGAATTTAAGATTTCTCCTGTCATGTGCAAATGCCTGGCACCACTAGGGCGCGTCCTGTACTGGACCCCGTCCCATCAGAAGGTAAAATGAACTTGAGCGCAAGGACCATCACAAACAGCATGAATATTTGTAGAACAATTGCCCTTTGTTTGATGGCACTATCGGCGTGACCTCGAGAAAGAGTTGGAGTGATGAGATTTTGGGCATGAAAATCCCTTAAGCATAAGCTAAGAATACGCTACATGAGTATCTCTCGAATGTGCAAATTTTCCGAATCCAACCCTGAGCTGGCAGTTCTCGCAGTGCCGTTTCCACATTGTCATTGCAGTTGGATCATATGCACTTGATTGTCTCCAAGAACTAAAATATAAATCCACCTGGCTCGAGAAACACGTGCGCGAATGACAAGGTGGATTCCCACCGGGTGGGACGAACACATGGAATCTACCTATCCACTGGGTCGTTCAACCAGGTGAATGCAGGTGGACGTTTTGTAAGGGTATAAAAAGCTTGAGCCAGACTCAACCAGCAGAAATCCAAAACTAGGAGGCGGAAAAAGGGACACGACAGACCTTGTCGGTCGAGGATGCCGATCCGTAACATAATGAGGGGCCAGATGACGATAAGGACGATCGTGAGGAGGATGGACGCGACACATGCTGTGATCTTCGCTCCTTTAAAGGCCCCCGCCACAGCCTCGTATGAAGGCCGAAGGGATTGGCGATCACCGGAGTTCTCGCTTAATCCCAGTTCCCTAAGTAATAAAACCGGACACTGCCTTTGTATGTTCTTCCGTAAAGGATACCGAGGTACATCAGATCAACCAGGACCAAAGGTGAAAGGAATCAGACTTGGCGGAACAGGTTCGATTTTCCGGGAGAGAAACTCTAATTAATGCTCGCCTCGAAAGTAACAAAAGAGTGAAGGAGCAGGGAGAGGAAAGATAACAAGGCTTACTTGGCATAGAGCTCCGTCCAAGGGAAGAGAGGATTGTCAATAGCCTGGGTCTTTTCCCACTCCTGCGAAAGGATCCTACCTGCCGGCTGCGTGCACAGAGACACCAGGATGCAGATGACTCCCCCGCTGCAGATCGAGACCAGATTCCCCACCAGCATGCTCCATTCCTGACCTGAATTTGGGAGGAAAATCAAGAAGAGGATTTTTTTTTACATTTTTTCTTGGCATTCGAGTGGCATATCGAAAAAAAAGTCGACGGACCAAGGGCCTTCGAGTCTTCAGACATCGATCGAGTAAGGCCCTTGTCGTCCAGCACGCAATCCCTTGCATTTGCAATCAGTACTGCTCAACTACTGGAAATTTCAAGTACTTTCGAACTCTCTTACAGCAAAAGTAATTGAAGAGGGCAATTCATGTAATGAAGGGGTAATGAGTTCTCCAAGAGGGTTGGACAAGTGAAATCCCACTTACTACTCTGAGTGCTTTATACTATCATTGTTGGTTGTGAGCACTTCGCCCAGGAAGGCATTCAGTACGATGCTAATCTTATCGCGGAAGGTAGGCCTCACGATGTGAAAATGGAAGAACCTTTAGAGATTTCGACCCAATAGTTATCGCCAACAGATTTCGAATGATACCTATAAGTCTAAATCTGAGGCACACAAAACGAATTTGGAACTCTTAGTAATGAGATGGAGGGCGGGAGGACGGTTCCCGTCATCAGAGACTCCCCATTTCCCTTTTGTAACGATGAGTAGTGGTGAGTTCCACCGCATAGCATTCTGGGGGATACGACTTAACATTTTCAAACATGCTTTCGATCAATTATAAGGAGATGCTTTTCGTCTATAGGGAAACCCTAATCGCCTGTAGGCAAATGTTCAGCAAATTTCGCTTCTTAACGTTAAAGTGTGACCTGTCTTTTTCATTTAAGGTAGTAGGGGAGGAAAAATCGACTGTCTGGGATTCGAAATCTGAAAAGTAATTGTTGTAGGGGGTCCCTAGGGAAGTACAAAGAGGGGTCGCACAGTCACCTCCGACCCATAGTTTGGCCAAAAGTCACTGCCAAAGTTGCAGCTAGATGGCCATTTGATGAGTCGAATTCAAACGACTACAACTCGGAAACCGTTGGTCAGAGGAACCCGAAAATAACGTATTTGGAAAGCTAAGACAATCTACTTTTAAATGAGAAGTTGAGATTCAAGCTGACTCAAAAGGTCAAAGGTCAAACGGCCAT